CGAGGGCCGAAGGCCCGAGAGAAAGGTCAAACTTCGCGTCAGCGAAGTTTGCCTACCTTTCTAGTCGTAATATTATTATTCGATGATTATAGTAATCAACGAAACATTGTGAATTTTATTTTTGGATCGGCTTTTAGTAATATCTGAAAATTAATATTAGGTACCTATCCGAATCAAATTTGGTACATGGGACAAGACAAGCAGTAAAAATAATCTTGTTTCATTCCCTACCTCCCCTTTTTGAAAATTTTTTCCACACCTATGGATCTCTTAAGGAAAATGACTGAATTTCTGAATTGTAAATTTTGCTCGAAAAATGTCTCGTCAATTCAAAATTATTAGATTTCGAGAAAAAAGATAGATTCAGTTTACTGTTTAGAAAAAATAGATGCTTAAAGTACCAAATTGATAGTTTACCTGGGAAACCAAAATTTTTTTCAACTACACTGAAAAAACGATCATAGGAAAATTGCATAATATAGTGTCCCATAAGCACATGATCAAAAAGGTTCTGCGACATTCTTTGGCTCAAAAGAAGACGATCTGACCTAACTTCCATCGAGAAAAAACATCTGGCTCCTCTGCTATTGATTGTCAAAGTTCTTGAAAAAAATTATGTTTTTTGTAATATCTGGAGAATGTTAAGATGAATTTTAATTAAACTTGCTGTGGACTGGTTCCTAAGTAAGACTCATGTTTTGATGAAGCAACCGTGTTCATCCGCCTTGGGCAAGTGGTAAATTCTTGAGTGTCTTGGTACAAGAATTATCAGAACGTTTTATTTGCACGCTGGAATCTCAGGTACTGAGGGTACAACAACTACTCGCTACAATCACTACTAACGTTGTAAGCGATGATGTCATTTTATAATAAATCAGTTGTAAAACTTTTGACGTGGGTCGGGCAATCCGACTTCTTCTTCTATTGAAGAGATTATCGACATGGTCAAAGTCTTAGGGTTTTGCGAAGACAACTTGCGTGGGAGTGTACTCATCCGATCAACGCTGTTAATAATAGCGTCAAGAAGGCCTTGCAAAACCACTTTTCTCTTACATTTTATCAGGCCTGGGACTGACAGTGTGAATATTTACTGGCATGTTTAAAAAGTGTTTTGACAAACAAAAGTAAACCACTAACAACAACTAAAACAAAACGAAACAAACTGAAACTCGGAACACAACAAGGAGAAGAATACTTAGACAGCTGATTTACATCAATGATCACAATTGATTTACATCAATTTTGATTAATACACAAACGAATTCGGTTTTTAAAGACTATTCAACATCGGTGAGCATGGAGTGTTTGTCAAAAAGTTTAAATAAACTGAAGCTAGTTAAGGCAAATACCGGTAAAACAAATGATGGTACACGGGTATACCGGTACAAAATGCCGTAAACAAACTTTGAAGTAAATGTCATGTATTGACATTATTGATTGATTTCTTGAATTTTTGTGTGATTTAGTTAGTGTATATAAAATGATCTGTAAAAACGAAATATGGTGCAATCGTGTCCTGCGATAAATTGCGTAAAGAGACGTTTAAGTGGAGAAAAAATTAAATTTCGTAGGTAGGGAAGAAGTTATGATGGTACCAACATGTTTATACTTTTCGCATCTTTCTGAAAATAATGACCAAGTAGAGTTGTCTTTGATGATAACTTATTAGATCATATTATTTCCTCCATCCTCAAAATGTCATTTTAACGTCAAAATTTTGCCGCTTTAAATGTGTTACTCTTCAAATTAATTTTTAACATCAAACCGAATATAAAGAAAAAGTTTTAACTGAAATGTACTTATAATGTGCTCCAGCAAAAATCTCTTCAAATAATATGTTGAACCAAGAAAGCATCGAGATAGTTTCAATTTATATAGTTCTGCAAAGCAAGAAAATATGAAATATTTGGAACAACTACGTCACAAGAGCTTACAGTAATTTTAACCGATCGAGTTTACGATATGAGGAAAATAAATGGAGAAATACATAAATAAGGCATTACAAAAACTATTTGGAATATTATAGCTAAAACAATTCAAATATTGTACTGTAATTAGGACAGTAATATAATAAACCCTTTTACATACGTACACTACTGGAAAAAAATTAAAATTTTTTGTCTTTTAGTCTATATTATTTTTATAGTCTTTGAATACGGCCCAACAGAAAAAAGGGGTAAGGGATCGAGTATAGCTAGCTGATTGGTTGAATTAAATGTAGGTGCACTGCAATCGAAATTCTGTGAACGAAGCTTAAGCCCTTACTAGCTCCATCTCTCTCGCACACGTCTGAGCGATTGCTGTTTATATAGGCAAAATGACAGTTGGGCGAGTCCAGTAGTTTATAAGGTCTATGATGTATCGATGTTGTACTAATACAATTACAAGGCCTTCTTGACGCTGTTACATAGCTACCTACTTTTTCGGACATTAGAAAAGAACGTGATTTTTCTGGAAAACAGTTGGAGATAAGTATGGACAACTTATATCAGTCGAAAGGGCATTTAATTTTGCATTCACACGTGACAATTAATATGGGCCATTCCATTTGAAAAAACAAAATTTTCGTACTCGTAAGATTATTAAAAATGTAGGTCTCAGTATTTCCGAGTCTGAATAACGTACACGTTTTGCTCACAGATAAAAATATAGTGTAATTTATGCCAAAATAAACTGTGAAATCTGCAGGTTTCTAAATCTTACGGTTTAGACGCTATCTAGCCTCACTTAGAGAGCTGAAATCGTGATTTTTTTCAAAATTTCTGATTATTTTGAATATAGTTTTAAACACCATGTACATTTAATAAACTCTAGTTTATTTTATTATAAACTAAAGTTATATAACGCCCATGCGAAATGAAACACCCTATAAAGCTAAAAATACTTTTTTACATAGCCCACATGATTTTTTACCACAACTTTTATGAAAACTATTTTTTTTATAAATTATACAGTTACAGAGTTACAGAAGAATCCCTCTTAGGTGAAACACCTTGTATATGATATCAGTAACATATAACAATTAGTAGGTATACAAACAAGAAAATTATCTACCTTTCCAATATAGATGTAAACATGTATTAATGGTTTTTATATTTTTCAATTGTACAATATTTAAATTTGCAAATAGAACATATATACATATCGTTTTAAGTACTTACCCTTGTTCAAACAAACAACAGACACTATAAATTTGCCATGGACAATGGAGATAACAACGGCAGTAGGTACGATAAAACAGATGACAGAATGCAATAGCCAATTACGCATTTCGCGAGAGATACGCATGTGCGTGTATTTTATATGAACCTTTTTCGTTAAAAGAGCAGATATATTTTTGTTGTTCATTATAAACACTACTTAGACATGTTCCCGATAGGCTTTTATGAGGACAATTTCCATAAAAGTGAAGATGTTTACAGAGAAACACACCAAACTGGAAGTTTTGCTAATATTGAGAGAGAAACTGAAACAACTACTACAACTACTGAAACTAGTGAATTACATCCCCAATATCTAGTTAATAGCTAAAATCATTGTTCCGGAGAGTCATTAGATATGTGTTTCCCATAATATCATTAGTTAAAAAGATTATTCCACCTAGTGTGACACTAATCATGCATTCACAGCATCTATAGATTAGTAGATCACTTCGTAGCAATAGGTATGTCATGTACAAAGCAATGCTTATAAGTAGGCACTGAGTAGCAATAACATTTAAGACATGACATACGCTACCGTTAATTTTTTTTTTTTTATTCTCTGAAATAACACTACCAATAATTCGTTTCATTTTTTAATATACAATGAAAGACTAACATAGACGATATATGTTAACAAAAACCATTTATTTATTTATATCAGTTGTATTTAGTTCCACAACTGTTGACATAATATATGATGATAATATATTTATCAAATTTGTAGACGGAGCATTGTTTAATATATCAGCTGTTGCATTTGATGTAATATCTATTTTGGACTGAAGGGGATTAGTCGAAGGTGCACATGGATGTTCTTGTACTGGACTTAGGATATTTTCTAGAGAATATGCCACCAAAGATCCAGCTGCTAACCCAAACATGTACAGCAAAGTCATCATATTACCTATAAAATTCAGAAGAAATTAATACATTATTTTTTATATTAATGTGTTTGTTTTAATACTTTTTTATATTTTTGAAGAATTTTGATAGTTGATATTACAAAAAATGTGTTTGCTTCGGCTTTTCTGCAATTAAAAAAGAAAATAGAAATGAATGAAAGAACATTAAAAAACCCACCATGTATTTTATTGCAGATATGTTTTAAATAACTAACCATTTTACAGTATCGCAAGAACTAAAATAGAACCAAAAATATCTTATTCGAAAGTTTTTCCGTCAATGACTAAACGATTTTCTAGGCGTATGCCACGTCGTCGATTTGGATTTCACGTTTCTAGATACATATCGCTCTTGTTCTCAAACAGAAAATAAAAATCCTCTGCAAGGTTTGTTGTATGAATTAGTTAATGACATTCCAGGGCATGGTCTCACACCGCTGATCTGTGAAGTTCCGGTCATTTTTACGTACGAATTGCTTTCAAATTGCAGTTTTAAGCCATCGTCTCGGTTGAAATCATTGTTGTTTCTGGATTTCTATTATTTCCCTATCGGACTACTATTTTCCTTGTGACACTTTTGTTTCTCTGCTTGTGCAATGTATACACCAGGTCCTTGGAGTACGGTACCGAGATACCGTTTTGTTTCAGTTCCACTTTGAAGATGGTGTCTAGATGTTATTCATTAATATGGTTCAGAAATTTGTATATCCATGAAATCTGATGACAATCATTGAATCAACACTTGTCTGGGAGTTAATAACTTCAGGGTTTTCTTCCCGAACATTCCAACGAAGATGTTGGCAAAAACAGTATAAAGGTGAACTCTCATATAAATCGTTAGTAGCTATCTTTATTTCTTTTTCATAAAACTGACTACAAATGAAGAAGCCGGTGAATCTGATACTCAGTTTACGAAATTCTCATCTTTTGTCTTCTACAATGAGTTTTCGAAGAAGTTCTTCCAAAGCTTCTTCAATTTTTTCTGTTTAAACCATACTCACTAGGATATAATCTGGATATTTACTCCAACAGTCAGACAACGCTAAAGGCAATCAGTTCTTGCCAGATCAATGTAGTGGAGCTGTTTGGATGTTTTGGTAAACTAGGAATAAGAACGACGTAGCTTTAGTTTGGATACCAAGGATATCGTAGCAATAAGAAGGCAGATGAGTTAGCCGGAATAGGCTATTATGCTAATTCTATAGCCCAACAGGTACCTCAATCTTCTTGTGACATTACTCTTTGCGTTAATAAGACATTCTAGCAGAAATTGTTGAAAGATAAGACCAAAAATTGTGACACGAAACCCCTACACAAAAGCAAGCCAAGAAGTTTTTATAGGGCCCATCGAAGGAGTTAGTGGCAGACCTAATAATAATAAGGATGTTGATAGGACTGCTAACAAGACATTGCAGACTCAGGAAACATCTGAATAACGTTGGATCATAAAAAGATAGCCTATGTATGTTCTGTCAGGAGTATGGGCCTAAGAAAACTAAGGCTTGATGAATATCTCTAACTTCCATGGAGATCTAAGACCTATGGTTGATCGCAGTGCAAAAGGTTGATTTAGCCACTCCATATAACTATAATTTATAATATCTCAAAACTAGTTAAATTCCCTTTATCTTGTTTATAAATTTTGAGCATTTTGGACATGGTGTTCTGCAGTAAGCAATAAGTTTTGGTGTTATTCAGCCACTTAAAATGTCATTATATAGTTCCTTGGGAATGTTAGGTTAGAATTGGTTCGCCCTAATGTTACATAATAATAATAATAGTAAATATTTTACGAATATATTACGAAGAGAGTAATCTAGACTTTTGAAGAAGAAAGTGAATGTCTTTCAAAACGCCTAAAGTCTAAACCGATAACACGCATAAATTACAAAACTGAAATAAAGGGATTAAAGATAGATAGTTAAAGATAGATGTTAATAAAACTGAATACTCACCAGTGAGTTCCCTATGTCTATCTTCCACTTTAGTAGGCGCTTGAATCATAGGAACGCTCCCTAGGACACCATTAGTTAATCCCAAAAATATAGAAAATGTGAAAGCCGTAATTTCGGCCGAGAATATAGGATTGGCCCTTGGAGCTACACACATAATCATTAATGGTATCATAATCAGTCTTGCAACAGAGCAACGAACGAGTCGAGCTCCTGTCCAATAACGCGCTGAAGACGCCAGCATCTTCCCGAGCAAGTCTGCACCGTTGAAGAGAGCCATCATTAGGATCGGCATCCAAGATCCCAGGTGGCAACTAATCACTTCCGAGGCTATGCCAGGGTAGAGACACAATGTCGCGAAATAGACTAAACATATCGATATCATGTAAGGGTATATGGCTTTTGTGACTTCCCACCTAGCTTGGATGCCCCCTGAAAAATATAGACAGAAAGAGAATTTCTACTATATTAGGTTAATAGTCAATGTTATGACTACATAGAGCTATGCTAGATATGTTTGCTATGGTGGTTATGCACATTAAAAATGTTGTGTAGACCTTTATAATAGCTTATCATTATTGTAATTTGCTGCATGTCCATTGAACGTCCAAACGATCTAACGTCTTGATAGTCATAAGCAGACGTAAAATGGGCATCCAAAGGATAACGATTTCTGGATATGATTAAGTAACAAAAGTGGATATAAAATGGATGTCCAATTGAGGTTGAGTCTGGGTATGTACACATTCATTATACATTCAGTCTAAAATTTTTAAAATGCCTAAATAAATAAATTTCACTTTCTGTGTTCTAGAGTGCACATCAGCAATCTATGTGAGCACTCATCTCCTCTTCCAAAACTAACACCATACAAAACAGATAATTTAATTCCTCACTAGGTCTAAAAATTAGTTGTTTTAGAAGATATTTAAATACAGATACTGCGGTGTCGAAAATAAAAAGGAAAACGTTGAAATTAGTCCATAGTGATATTAACTACTTACTTTTGATAGAGCTGAGGCCTACTCCATTGTTACTGACACTCTGCCTACCCCTGATAACTACGTCTTCCACTTTATACGTCGGCACGGGAGCGGAAGGCTCATACGCTGGATTGGCAAAACTCAGAGCATTTCCTGTAGGAGGAGGGCTGTTTTGAATTTTCAGGACCCCATATTGGGAATCGTTGGTTTCGATCTAAAATTTATATAAAGCAAGCGAGTTACTTAAAATAAAAATAAAAATTTTCATGATTTGCAAGTTTTTGTGGAGCTTTTGTTGTGCAAGTGTCAATCGTATCATTCTTTGCTGCTGGACTTTCCTGAATTTCTATTGCCTTCCTGTCATTCCCATCGAGTCTGTTAGATGTCGTGTATCTGCCTGGTTCTCCATTGTCAATTTTTAAGTGATCCTGCCAGATGCTTCTCCAAACAACTTTTCTTTCTGTAGGCAAGGATGTACAGACAAGATCTCTTAAGAAAATACTCAATTAAGGACGTTTATATAATCTCAGGAGAGTTAGAAGTAGCTTTTCCTAAGTCGTGCTTCTTAAAGAAACATAAGTATCACTTAAAAAATAACAATGGAGATATATCAATAGTGGCAGAACACAGAGTAGATATAGACACCGAGTAGGTTCACCAAAATAATATTATAGTTCTAGAAAGAAGATTTGGACTAAAAATCTACAGAGAAGCAGTAGAAATTAGAAAAATTACGATAATTTCAACCAAAAAGGAGTTAAAACTTGAGACGAATTTGGAGCCTCAAATATAAGACCGATTAGAGAACTTCTTCTGAAAAGAAGAAGATCGATATGTCTCTCGAGACTCTAAACTGATGAAGTGGTTACTAGGCTTGTTCAAAAATTAGATTTATTTGTCAGTTCTGTAGTTAATTTTGAAAACTGCAGTGTATATGAAATTTCGTCAATGTTTCCATTATAGACGTCGAAATGAACATTTAAATACCAAAAATACCAATGGACATACTGTATTTCGTTAGTGTATAAAAGAATTACAGATACTTACTAAACCAGCATCTTCCGTAGGCTCTAAGGTAATTCTAGTTTTGGCTCTTTCACACAATGCAATGTAAAATTGTATAAAATCGGTTCTTCTTATAAGATGATACGTTGCAAAGCAAGTCGTTACTGATGAAACTGATACAGTGAAGAAATATATAGTACTTCCCCTCAGTTCCTTAATAAAGAATCTTGTAAGGACTCTTACCATAGAAGTAAATACTCCAGAGGTACCTAAAATGTATTACTTATAAAACAGATGACATGATTTTTTTATCAGTTAAAGTACAATTATAAAAAGTGTACCATCCAATCTGAAGGAATAAATAGCTTGTACAGTATTCTAAAGCAAAATGCCAAATTCTTGGAATTACTTAATTCGGAAATGTATACTGGCCGTTGTTTCCGTCGCTCCACAGCCACAATGCTGGCAAATTATGGTGTTGACCTGATAGAAGTCAAGCGTATAAGGGGATGAAAATCATCTTCAGTGACCTAAGCTTATATAGAAATCTCAGTAGCGAGAAAGGTAGAATATTGAAGAAAATACTCAGTGACGCTTGCTATTCTATTCTTGCATTCTACGTATGTTTATTACATGAAAAAACTTCTGCCTCAAGAATATAGAATTCATAGAAGTTCTGAACCAAGCATACGATTTTTTAAGTGAAACACTCGATATAGGTATCTATTATTAAGACTGATTTGCTGATCATCATGAATGTTAGAAACTTGGTATGCAGGTTCTCGATCAATTGTCAATAGCTGAGTAATTTATAGGATGGTTGCCACACCATCGGATTAGATCTCATGACATTTTGAGAGGTACATTGCTCTCCTCTACAGAAGAAATATTAAAAGTTTCTCAGTTTCTTCTGAAGGAAAGACGACGACGTGGAAACTAACCCGGAAATTGTTCTACTATTAGAAGATTATGTTGTATCGTTTTCGACAATTTTAACAATAGATTTTGAATAAAATATTTGTCGAAAACATACAAAAAGGATTATATAATCATCCCTTCACAAATACATTGTATTGTTGACGTTCAAATAAAGTCCTTTAACTTTAAGAAGAACTAAGACAATAATGCGTCATTTCTGTTAGATCTGTACGAAATTAAATATAGATAAATATGAAGTAAAGGTAGATGCGAACATGTTTTACTTAACATATATCAGAAAACTTATTAAGAACAAACCAAAACAAACAGCTAGAAAATGAATAACTTACTTTCTCCCACCATAACCGCCTGTGTATATTTTGGAGGAAGCATACTTGTATAACCATAGAAACTTGATTGTTGTACTGAAAAATAAAGTGGTTTCAATAATGTAAATATTCCACTAGTAACTGAATCTTAAAATTTCTCTGGACACCAGATAAGATATATTCGAGATTTTTGTATGTGTTTGAATATTGCAGTGCGTCATTTTTTTAACTTATTCAATTAAAAAATTCAGTCTGACTCGTTGAAGCTTCATCATCAAAAAACTGTTAATATAATAATTGTTTAATTATTTCTTTTTATTATACAAGGTGTTAACGTAATTTTCTCATGGCACAATTTGATGAACTTATTTTGCAGTATAGAAAACGGCTTATGCTATTAAAATCTAACAAGAGTACCTTTTTTATGCAAAATATGATAAATTTTTATATTTTCGGTTCAGGAAGTAGAAAAAATTGCGTACAAAAAAAAATGCAAAATTTGTCCCATAATCCCGCATTTTCTTCAAGGGGCTGTATCTCCCTTAGGTGCCGCCACTGACAAAAACTCTACTAAGGTTTTCATCATATTTCGACCTGTTTTACATACTCTCCAATTTTGAATACTTATTTCGTTAACACCTTGTATATGCAAACCACAAAAACACATTTAGGCTATGGCAATACTAAAATTTAATAATTCTTCAGAGGTTTAGTTATTTTTCATTAAGTAGAAATTTCAAAATACAAAAATGTTGCTGAAGAGTTATTAATTATTGATATACTAGTTTTCCGAAAATTTGAGAAACAACGCCACCTTTGTAATTTTTTCAATGTAAGTCCAATTTGACAGAAAAAAAAATAGAGCACGTGTTTTGTCCAAAAATATTAACTTGATGTCTAAATTTCTTGTTAAATCTAAAGAGACACGGCCAGGTAAGATAACTAAAAATCATATGAGTGTATTATTTTGCACAATTGACCATATTTATAAAAATCCTGAGGTCTTTTGGTCTTATGTCCAAAAGAAATTGAGGCCCTTCTAGAATCCCTGGGAGAGTTTTATATAACGACAAAAAAAGATATAAAAATTCTGATTCTCTATTTTAATATCTGGGACAGATTCGCTAAAGGATATCTTACTAGAGGAGATAGTGGGGTATTCTGTTGCCATAGATTCGTCAATATGAATAATTTTTTAAACTCCACTGATATTATTAGCTTGTTTTCTTTACTGAATCGATCATTACGTAAAACTGTTGTTTTCTTTTTCATACCTTGCACTTTACAGGCAGTAAATCTGTAGCTTCCTTTACTATCACTGATATCTCTCCTTCAAAATCTCTCGAATTCACTTAACAAAGCATACACTTCTACTTTGTGATCCACTTTTCTATCAAAATTAAGCGCAAGATACAGTAATAGGCATAAATAATGTGGCGACTTTAATAGGCGAGCGGTTCACCCTTAAAAAGATGCTTCTAAATGAAGGTAACCGACTAAATTTTTAAAATAAAAACCTACAGCATGAAACTTTTTTTATTTTATAAAGTGTATTTTTCTGATAATTTACATATTTTTTTTTATATTTTTCGGCGTGGTCAGTCAATTGCTATAAACAAAAAAATTGTAAAAAAAATTACTCGCCGAATGGCTTTGAAAACAGTTTTTCATTGTAAAATGGACCAAAATAAACACTTTTTGTTCTTTGACAGAAATTCGAAAAATGCTTTGCTTCCGAGATATTTACAATTGAATGTGAAAAAAGTGACGAAATCGACAAACTTTCGGAATTTTTTTTCTCAAAAACTACTGAACAGAGTTTAATTCTAAAAAAAGTGTAATAATCGGCAGATCTTTTACTTGAAGATATATTTTTTTGGTATAGGTCAATTATTTTATTGAAGGTCAAAAGCGAATAAAAAAACAGTCTACAAATAGTGAAATTGTAACTCTAGATCCATTGACACATGGATGGAAAATTGAAAATGGTTGTCTGGATTTTAATTATTTCGAAGGAAAAACTGCGTTAGATATGCTTCAAAAATATTTTTGTTCATGTAGTGGAAAATGTTCTACGAAAAATTGTAACTGTTTGTCATCGAACCTGGAATCTGTGCGTGCTCAGCTGAATGTTCCATCCGAAATTGATGATGAAACGTTTATTTCAACTCAAGAACTTGTCGAAAATAACGAAAAACTTATTATTTAAAAATTAAATAAAAAATAAATTAATAGGTATACTTTTATTGCTCTTAATATTTTTGTAAAATAAAAATAAAATAATTATCCTATACAATAAAATATCCAATAAATTTTTTATTTTTCGAGACCGCTAGGTCAATTATTATTATTATTAGGTTAATTTTACGATTTAAAAAGCTTATTTAGTTTAGTTTTGGTATAACTTTCAAGTCAATTTTAGCCATTTATAAAACCAAAAATCGAATATTTAAATTTTACTAATTACTTGCAAAAACCTTACTCCGGCTACAAAACCAAACAAAATGATCTCTTGAACATTTGTATTGTTAACATATATCGATTAAAAAAATCATAATAATGTTTATTGTAAATATAATCTAATCCAAGATATTGTAAAATGTGTTATCATAATTTTCTTTAAAATACTTTTTTACTCGCTTTAGACCTTTACTTTTTTGTTTATAATAATTGACTGACCACGCCGAAAAATATAAAAAAATATGTAAATTATCAGAAAAATACACTTTATAAAATAAAAAAGTTTCATGCTGTAGGTTTTTGTTTTAAAAATTTTGTCGGTTCATGCCTTTTTTTTAGTCGTAAACCGCTCGCCTATAACCACGGCGTATTGTTTATGTCACCGTAGCAACGAAAAGAATCTAAGCAGTAAAGATTGGACAAGTTAGGATGATTTTATTCATTCAGTCATCAAAAGGCTACAGTGGCGTAACATTTTTAAAGGGTAAGAAATTGTTAAAAATCCAACAAATATTTTTATAAGACTGCACATTTGTAGTTAAAATATTGTACATGATACTTGTGGCAACTGGGTTTTTATCACATTCTGTTGATTATTCTTCAGTCTCGTACGGTAAAAACCTAGTTGCCGCTATGTAATATACAATTAATATAGAGAAAAATAAACCACGTACCTGTGCACCCAACGGCAACTACAGCTACTGCAGCTAAATTCACAGTGTAGGAAGTAGCAGATCCAAAAGCCTCCCACCAAACCTCACAGAGAACAACGAACATTAATGTGAGGAAGGATATTATGTATCCTGAAAATGGCGCAGATACTGATTTGATACTTTACTTAAAATATAAAAGCGTGTACATACCAAAATTAATTCTGGAATTTAGCGAAAATGTTTCAACTAATAAATTATTTCCAAGCACGGTCGCCAGGGCCACAGCGATGTAAACTAGGGACATGTCGAATACCACTGGCGTGCCGGGATATCGCACCTTGAAGTAATCCATGGCCATTATAAAGCTAAAAGTTGAGAACAAAATGTGATAGAGATTAAGTAAGTGCGGTACTAATTAGCAATGGTTTAATTTTAAAGAGAAATTTCATTCGCTTATTTGTAAATAACATTCTACATATGGAAACATGAAGGAAAGCTCATATTGACAAATTCTAGGTCTAAAGTGGGCTGTAGGTGATTGGTTGCTAATGTGGAAGCCTAAGCTTATTGCACACACATTCAGTTGCAATATATGTATAGATATAAACGTGATTATAAATGCAATGTAATATAATAAGTTAAATAAATGATACATGTAAAACAAAAATATTAACTGTTAAAATTAAAATTACTTATGGGTCAAATTTAGATAATGATCAAATCAAGATATTAAGCGCGGATATCACATTGTTCGTTAATGAGTTTCACAAATAAACGAATCGGCAAGAAATACTGTTTTGTTCGTCTGTGAAAATGTTCCTTCTTTAATCATGTCACGGACGAAGATTTCATTGCGGTAGTAGATTTTATCATGGTGAAAACTGTATGTCATTATGAGATAACTACTTATCCTCCCATCCTCCAGAGACTGCAGATACAAAGCGTGTGAGATTTGTTTCGGAAAAAAAGATGCTGAAACCTAACAGAGAATTTAATATCGCACCTTCTGTCTTGCTCTAGAATAGTGGACTATATAGTTACAGCAAACTCAAGATGCGGACGAATATATGTATTATAAATCTTAAGAAAAGTAGATAACAGTGGTAAGGTTTTAGAAAGATCTGGTTACATTTTCTTACAATTTTTGATACATGGGCACTTCACGGCTATGACTCTGTGAATGTAACGTCAACATGTTGACCATTCCAAGCCATCATACTGTGACCATACTGTAACTGCCACCATACTGTTCCAAGCATCAACGGTTAATGAGATCAAGGTCATTTTGTAAAGTCAAAGAAGGTGATAAAAAGAGCTTCAAGTCATCGGCATAGGAAAGCAATCCAGATACATACACTAGAAGTAAGACGACAGTGAACCCTGGGGTACACCACTTGAAACATTTTGTTTCATTGTAAATTGACTGTTACTAAGATAAGATTCTATCCATAGATAACAGGTTATTGAGCTTTCTTTATATCCCTGGAGCTTTTTTGATATGGATATGACTTTCGACACACAAGTTACTGCCAATAAAAGTTTTTTTTTTATTAACTCACTGATTAAATTGCACTTAAATAGAGTAGGCTAATGATGGTACTCGGTAGATTTGTAGTTGATAATACTTTAGTAACAAATTTTTTGATTTGTTTAACAATTTGATCGGTTTTCATATGCCACAAGGTTACAGGCGTACAAACAGAAATTCTGAATACCCTGTATAGTGTGTTCCACATTAGAAATGCATCAACTTTGACATTCCGTTTATTAAAAGAATTAGAAAATTAGGAAATAGCTATAGAATTTTAGTACCATTTGTATAAGTGCTTATCTTCATCATTGATTAATTTATTTTACAATTTATCTGCCTACGAAGAAAGTATCCACAAAATTAATTTGTAGTTGGGTCATTAAAAATAAAATAAAAATAAACCAGCCATTTATTAAACGGTATTAAAATTATGAATTAATTATAAATAAATTACGTACATATACTTTTATTGAAAATATTCCAGCAAACTCCTTATTATATTTTCCACTATCCTCAAACCTTCCACCTATAACTTTTTAATTTTTTATAATTTCTCAATGTTTTTCAGTTTCATATTTAATTTGATTTTAGTATTCCAAAGAATGTTTAATTTCAGTAAATAAATCAGCGAATAGATGTATATTTTAATTCATCTTCTAAGTAAATTCTGAGACATAGTCGCAAAATAACCCTTGATTGATTGATTTCTTTAGCGCAATGGTTTGTTTTATTAATTAAAAAAAAATCACATGTCAAAATACCCAATAAATAAAAAAAAATTATGCCACTATAACTTCAGACAATAAATAATATGAAGTGTTCGCAAGTTAGGTTGTGTTTCTATCTCCCTTTTGATGTTTGTCTTTTAAGATACCTACCTATTTTTAATATGATTACAATAAAACTCTAAAAAAGCTTCACAAATGTAGTTTATCCTGTCTATGTTGTGAGAATGTACTATTTTCAAGATAAATGATAAAATATACCAACTATGATATGTATATAGGCGAGCTGTTCACCCCTAAAAAAAAGGGCATGAACCGACTAAATTTTTAAAACAAAAACCTACAGCATGAAACTTTTTATTTTATAGTGTATTTTTCTGATAATTTACATATTTTTTTATATTTTTCGGCGTGGTCAATTGTTATAAACAAAAAAGTTGTAAAAAAAAATTACTCGCCGAATGGCTTTGAAAACAGTTTTTTATTATAAAATGGACCAAAATAAACACTTTTTGTTCTTTAACAGATTTTAATTCTAAAAAAGCATAATAATCGGCAGATTTTCTACTTTAAGATATATTTTTTTGGTATGGGTCAATCATGTTATTGAAGGTCTAAAGCGAGTAAAAAAATGTCTTAAAGAAAATTATAATAACACCAAATTTAAATTTTCTTTTTTACAATATTTTGGATTAGATTATATTTACAATAAACATTATTATGATTTTTTTTATCGATATATGTTTATAATATAAATGTTCAAAAGATTATTTTGTTTGGTTTTGTAGCCGGAGTAAGGTTTTTGCAAGTAATTAGTAAAATTTAAATATTCGATTTTTGGTTTTATAAATGGCTAAAATTGACTTGAAAGTTATACCAAAACTAAACTAAATAAGCTTTTTAAATCGTAAAATTAACCTAATAATAATAATTGACCTAGCGGTCTCGAAAAATAAAAAAGTTATTGGATAATTTATTGTATAGGATAATTATTTTATTTTTATTTTA